CCCAGGTGTCCCCAAGTCAGCTGCTGCTGAAACTGATCAGTGGCTGATTCCAGGAAGCCCGGGGCAAAGCAGCTCTGCCTCCGGCTTCCTGTAGTCAGCCGCTGGTCGGTTTCAGCAGCAGCTGAATCGGGGTCACCTGGGGTACAATATGTACCAGTTCCGACTTACGTACAAATTCAACTTAAGAACAAACCTACAATCCCTATCTTGTACGTAACCCAGGGACTTTCTGTACTCCATTTAGAAAGGAACAGTGAGTTGCATACATACAAAATGGGAAATAGCTGCCTGGGAAGGAGTGCTGCAGAAAGGGATCTGGAGGTTATAATGGACCACAAGTTAATATGAGTCAACAGTATGTCAGTGATGCAAAAAAAGCAAATATTCTTGGATGTATTAGTAAGATTTTGGGAAGCAAGACATGAGAAGTAATTCTTTCGCTCTGCTCCGTGCTGATTAGACCTCAGCCGGAATGTTGTACCCAGTTCTGGGCACCATATTTCAGAACAGGTGTGGACAAATTGGAGAAAGTCCAAAAAAGAGCAACAATAATAAGTAAAAATCCAGAAAACATGACCTATGAAGGAAAATTGAAAGAATTGGATTTGTTTAGTGTGGAAAAGATAAGTCTGAAAGGGATATGAAATGTAAAATTTTTCAAGTATATAAAAGGTTGTTAAAAGGAGGGAGAAGAATTATTCTTCTTTACCTGTGAGGATAGGACAAGAACAGCAAGGGAGAATTAAGTTGGATATTAGGAAAAACTTCCTAACTGTCAGAGTAGTTAAGCACTAGAATAAATTGCCTAGGGAGGCTGTAGAATCTCCATCATTTGAAGATTTTTAAGACCAGGTTCGACAAACACCTCTCAGAGATGATCTAGATAATACTTCAGCCGTGAATACAGGGGACTGGACTTGATGACATCTCGAAGTCCCTTCCAGTTCTAGTATTCTAAATTGTTCTCCCTGTTTGTGTATTGTATATTTGCCTCCTTTTCTGTTCTCTCAAATTTTGTTCTCTCCAGCTGGCAAACTTTCAAACTGCTGCAGGTTTGCCTGTTTCCTCAGTAAAAGAAATCGTTTTTCTTTGAGTAGTGTCCTTGTGGGTGCTGCACTTCAGTTGTGCACCTTACCTCTGTGTCTTTGGTGGGACAATTTGGTAGCAGTGCCCATTCGTCTCTCACTTGTGCCCAGTTTATCCTCATGCCCCGTTCAGAGCCTATCTAGGACTGCATGGGCAAATTGCCCTCAGTTTCTTCTCAATCTCCTCCAGCAGAGTGGAATTTAGTTTGTGTTTTTCTTTTATTAATATTCCTAGCATATTAGATCTTAGCAACAGTAGTAGTGGTATGTTTATTACCTTATAGCTTAAGGGATGCTTATTCACATTTACTTATTTTTATTCTTTAAAAGAATACATTTTTGGTTTCTTCCCCCATATCAAGGGCCCTCACAAATTTTCTTCTGTCTGGAATGCTGCACTCAATAGGCTTAAAAGGTGCCTTTTTTGGCAACAGTCTCTGTTGCCCAGGGTATTTTTTGGGAGACTCATATTCTCAGCAAATTCAAGATCCATCGCTTCTTTTAAGGGAAGATCCTTTAAGAGCAGGGAACTAAAGTATTAGGTTTAAATGATGGAGCAAGCTTTAAGACTAGCTTCTGTCCCAGGTGCAGAGAAACCCCCTCTGTACAGAGACCCTCTACATCATCAGTGCCCTATTGACATCAAGATAATGGTGATGAGAACTTCCAAGGGAAAGATGGCACTGAAACCTTGGTCTCTGACACTGTCTGTGAGTAAGATACTGACAACTGTGGAGAAGATCCCAAGAGCTTTTAAGGTTAAAGAGGACGATAAGAGGAGGAGAGCAGAGAGTTCCTCCTCAAAGACAACTTGATTACTTCAGGCCCCAAAGGGGAGTGCTGATGAAGGTCTTAGAATTTCAGGCACTATGAAAGATGTCAACTAAGACTAATATGATAAAGAGGGCAGTTTCAGTAGAATATGTGATCCCCTCATTGACAGGGCTTCAGACAATGGCATCCAGAACATTATCATTCTCTGTAGAAAGTTCTTTTGTGCCCCCAATACTGCAGAAATTTTGGTACCCAAAAGATCTAGACAATGGTCGATCCTGCTGTGAGAGCAGGGGACTGGACTCGATGACCTTTCAAGGTCCCTTCCTGTTCTAGTATTCTATGATTCTATGATCTTATGGTACTGAATAGGAATGTAATAGTGTAGTTGATTAACTGATAAGCAAAAGCTTATAGGTTAATGCTATAGACTACATGCATTCTTCCCTCCTCCCCCCGCCAG